AGGTAGTTTTAATCCATATTACATGGGAAATTCTATCAAAATTTTTATAAAAGTGTCACAATTCGAATATGTCATAGTTGCCTTGGTGGTAGGTTCGACATTTAGCTGGTATCTATCATCGGCGCACGACAAGTGTCAGGTCCATTAGGATGACTTGGGACGGGTCATGTCACAGACTTTTGATTTTGTGTACCATTGAAATTTGAAATTAGGGTTTGAATTCTTGATTATAGACAATGTCAAGTGGGCTTCATCGATCTTCGAGTGCTTGTATCAAACTGGCGAAAGGTAAAGTGGGAGTTCATAGGTCTGTTTTGATCCATTGAATTTATTGCCAGTGAGACCATTGAAGGTCTGAGATGTTAGAGCACTTGGGAAAAATATTGATTAATGATATAAAATTGAAGGCGGAAGTTGAGCAATGAATTTTGACATTTCGAAATTCAGATATAGCTCATAATTAAATAGAAAAGTGAATGTTCATAAGAATTAATACAAGCATTTGCCTGGGAGTGAAGTGCTCTATTGTTTACTACAGCTTCTTGGCTTGCAATTTCATCAGGCCCAGGTTTCATAGGAATGGGGACAGTGATTTCTAGAGCAAAAATTCCTTTGCCATTGGAACTACAAATATAAATGCTTTTTGGTCTTTTAGCGCTATAAACATCTAGGAAGAAAGAAAGAGAATGTAAAAGCACAAAATGGGTTCTAATTGAGCTTTACCTCCAAGTTACTTTGCATTACCTCGGATTCAGCAATGTTGAAATTGAATTCAAATTAGGTGCCGCAAATTATTTTTGGCTATGCTTAGATATGTAAATTAAAGAAAGAACAAATTTGCCTTAGCAATTCTGTGAGTGCATCTTTCAAACGGAGCTATCGTAAGCAATCCATGTTTCTATGTAATTGCTGTAGAAGTTTTTGAGTTGCATCTTATCTGAAATCATGATAGTGTTTGTTGAAGAGCACTCTCTAGAGCCTAAATATTTTTTTTATCATGTTTGACTTCCGTGATGTCAACATTACTTGTGTTTACTTTTATCATGCAATGCTACTACTTACGCACGACACAAACTTTTACTATTTACTAACTTAAATTTTCCTTATCATTTCCTAGGCGCTCTTCTAACTGGGAGGACTTTGGCGTCCTTGCAACCACAACACTAGCTACATCTATGGCAGCAAGACAAGGCCCCGTACCTATGGCCGGTCATCAGATTTGTTTTCAAGTTTGGATGGCTTTATCTTTGCTTAACGATGCTTTAGCACTTGCCGGCCAGGTAAAATGTTTATTATACTTTGTAACTTTTTTATTCTACACTTTTGGAGTTCATTGGAGGAATTATATTTTTGAAGTGATTGCATCTGTCATCCAATGAAGCCAATCGGTTTGATTTCTTCTTCATTTACTTCCAATTAAAGAAAATAATATGATAAGAACCATGGTGCATAAGCCTTTTTCCCAATGAATCTGAATTTTAGGATTTCCCATAATTTAATCTTTCAATAGCACTTAAACTTTCCATAAAATATGAAACTATATATGGTTTGAAGAATTTTATATACATGAAGCCTTAGTTCAAAAGTGTCCATTATTTGGGCCACTTTGTTATATCTGTTGTGTTTTGTCATCTGAGGTACTTCACAATCTAGTAATGGGTTCGCTACCGGGATTCTCCATCTGCCAAATGGGTTTAGTCTTAATGGTTTCAATTCATTCATTCGTCTTTGTTGAAATTCTTTTGTCAGACTCTCCTTGCTAGTGATTATTCCCAAGGGAATTATGGTCAAGCAAGCAAAGTGGCTTACAAAGTTCTGCAGGTTTATTTTGCTTCTAATTTTAGTATATATTCTGATCATTGTATGCATCTTTGACATCTATGAGATAAACAAGGAACTACCTTATTGAATGATCTCTTCCTCTGTGAATTGATCAGATTAGTATGGTAATGGGAGTAGCATTAGCAGTAATTTTGTTCTCCAGCTTTGATGCACTGTCCAGCTTATTCAGCACAGACTCAGGAGTTCAGAAAATTGCCAGATCTGGGACCTGGGAAAGAAAACGTTATTCTGGAAAATTTTCTTCTTGAAAAACATTGTGGCATATAGATGGAGAACGAGAGAGCATATTATGAAATGCTTGAAATCTGTCATTTTTGTTTCGAGCTTGATTTTTAGTTCAAACTCCTTAGAAAGGTTGACTTTTAGGTATTTGGAACCAAGGCTTTTGGAGAAAAATGATATCTTCAGGTCTCAAAGTCCACCATAATTGTGGTCTTGGCTGAATGGAAACAATTGAGCAGATTGGGCAAAGTTCTCTATCCTTGTAATAGGATTGGCTTAGATTTGTTAATCGTGTGTGCATGTTCCTTACACAAGTGCAAACAATGTCAGATAGCATATTATTGATTGTCGGGATATGCATTATTTTTCATTGAATACAATTATTTGCTCTCTAAATCTTTGACTAGACTATCATAGGTCACATTTAAGGAACCATACAAAAGAATTTTTGTGAAACATATCGAATGTTAGAAAGTTGGTTTAATACTATTTATGACCATACTTCGTTGTTTTAACACTTAATTTTGTGTTGTAGTTTGTTGCTGGGTCTCAACATATGAATGCTATTGCTTTTGTTCTTGACGGGCTCTATTCTGGGGTTTCAGACTTTGGATTGCTGCATACTCCATGGTAATTTTGTTTGCCTAGTTTTAAATAGTTAAGCAATTATGATTATCAATTTCTTAATTGGTATCTAATTTTGATGAACAGCTACTTATTGATGAGGAGCCTAATCATCTCTATTTCAGATATTTTTTCTGTCATAGAGTTATACAGCGGAGAACTATGATGTGGCCATTTTGGGAATTGTGCTTACCGTAGGAAGCACGTTCAGGACAAAATAAGAGAGCAAAATGGGATCCTTCTGTTTTTACCACAATGTGTCATTGATGAAGATGCTCCGTTCTTGAAAGAGAGGTTAATCTGGCCGGAAATATATTGTATACGGCAACAAGAACTTTAGATAGGTTGTGTTGTACCTGGTTTATTAACTAGTTTATTATAGTTTCGCTCTTTAATCCTTACTCCTTTTTAGACAGGTTGTGTTGGAAAACATTCTAATGTTGTATTGATTCAAAAATTTATAATGAAATTTATAATTTTTTATGCTATTCCAAAATGTGTTCACAAAGTGTTATTTTAGATCGTAAT